CAGAGCCCCCCCATCTCTCCTGTAGCCCCCTTTCAGCACTGGAAGGTCTCCCCGGAGACTTCTCTTCTCCAGGCTGCACACCCCCAGCTCTCTCAGCCTGTCCTCGCACGGGAGCTGCTCCAGCCCCTGACCACCCTCATGGCCCCCCATAAAGAGACCCCCCCCAGCCCCCCGCGCGGCTCCTCGGGCTGGAGGCGTCTGCAGTGGGAGGGGTGAGCGCTGGGTACCAGCTGGCATCCTGCACCGGTAAACACCGCTCCCTATTTATTTTTAAATAAATAGCTCATGAGATATTTTCCATTCCCAAATTAACATTTAATTCGTGTTTCCTACGCAGAGAAATCTCACCGCAGCATTGCTGAGCTGTTGACAGCAAACCTCTCCCATCGTGAGCTCTGTCCCTATTAAGCGATTTCCTTGCTCGTGCCTTCTTTTTAGTTACTAAGGGAACATGAATCTTAATAAAACTCAATCAAATGTTCCTTAAATAACAACTGCCTTCATCTAACTGTCTTAGCAGCAATTTTTTTTTTTTTTCCTCTGATCAGAATTTCAGGGAAATTAAGATTTATTTCTTCACACAGTAATGAAAAAGTAACTCATCCCAAACGACGGAAAACCTTTATCCTGAATATTCCGGGATATGACACTAGGGATACTGCTTAGCAGAAAATCTTGGATTTTGTCCTGAATGTGCCTGTTCCTCCCTGCACTTGTGCCGTGAGTCAGTTGGGCATCACCAGGATGCTGGGAGGGGAGGCTGCTGTGGATGTTCTTCTTGGCCAACTCCATCCAGTGCTGGTTTGACAGGAGATACTGGGAACTTGAGTGGTGACTTGCGGTGGTTTTTCTATGACTCCTAGTGCCTGTGGTCCTTTTAACCTCTTTTGCTATTTTTGTCCTTCTTCTTTGCATCCCCAGCCCAGGAAAGCTGGACCCTGAAGATCTTCGCTCTGTGACGTGGCTGTTTGGACGCAGCCACCTGCCGTAGCCATGCTGGTGTCCCCACGCCGCTGCAGGGAGGTGGGTGCCCTCCTCCATCGGGACTCAGCTCCTTCTAGACCTGGAAAACCAAAGGTCAAACCATTGTGCCAGGGGACATGCAGCAGTGGGACACATCCCTCAACAGGAGTGGGCAAACTCTGAGCTGGTGTCCATCTTGGGAGAACTTCTCATAGAATCCCAGGATGGTTTGGGTTGGGAGGGACCCTAAAGCCCACCCAGTGCCACCCCCTGCCATGGGCAGGGACACCTCCCACTAGCCCAGGTTGCCCAAAGCCTCATCCAGCCTGGCCTTGAACCCCTCCAGGGATGGGGCATCCACAGCTGCTCTGGGCACCCTGGGCCACTGCCTCACCCCCCGCACAGGAAAACATTTCTTCCTCACATCTCATCTCCATCTCCCCTCTTGCAGTTTAAATCCACTACCCTTCATTCTGTCGCTACATGCCCCTGGAAAAACTCCCTCCCCAGCTCTCCTGACCTTCCAACCAGCCCTGAGCAGCTGGCTCTGACTCCCCAGCTGGGTGGAATCAGTGGGAATTTCAGTGCCTCAGGGCACCTGGTCCTTTCCAGTGTGATTTTTTCTGGGATTCAGGACACCTGGTCCAAGAGGCTCCCACAGCATCCTCTCTAGAGGACTCCCAGAGATTTCTGACCAAGCTCTGCACTGGTGTCCTGGGCTTCCCACCCATCCCCTTCCTTCGCACCCCTTGTGAGCATCTTCTTGAGCTTGCTGGAAACCAGGGACCCACGTGTGACCTTCCCCATCATTCCCTGCCCCGGGTTATTTAGCGGCGCTGCTGTAGCCCATGGCAAATTCCTCCTCCTTCACCATCTCTGCTTTTCCCTCCAGGAGCTCTTGGCTGGGGCAGGAGGAAATCCCGAGCTTGGCGTGGCAGCACCGGTGGCTATGGAGTAACCGTGCCCCGGGTGCGTGGGCACAGCGGGAGGCTGAAGCCGGCTGCCAGGGTACCGGGAGCGGCCGAATGCGCCCAGCCCACGCGCTCCTCGCCTCTGCCATGAATGATGCATCGACGATGGATTATGAACTGCTCTCCCCTTCTTTGGTTGAGCATCCAGCCGGCGCTGCGGGTATGGATGCTGAACAGAAAACCGTCTTTGCCTTCGTCATCTTCCTCCTGGTCTTCTTGGTGATGCTGATGGTGCGCT